TACTATAGCTGCCACCACTACCACCTCTACAGCTGATGCCACCACTACCACCACTACAACTGCCACAGCTGTAGCTGTCCACAGGGAAGGACGATGCTCCGCTGGTACGCGGTCATCACGGCCCTGCTGACGACCCGGTGGAGTCAGTGGGAGAGAAGGAGGCCACCACAGGTGACATGGACCAGGAGATACTGGCCTGGCTACAGGAGGTCATCCTCAAGATGGGTGAGCAGGTAAACTCACTCAACTATTAAACAAAAACATTTTTTTACCAGGCGTAAGGCCCCAATGAGATACGTAGCTCTTTTTCAGAAGCGGCGACCTGGCCATCACCCGTAATCATAGCAGCTCAACGAAGTGGTTTTATCATCACGTAGACATTCATATTAACGGCCAAACACTCTGAACGCGTGACGTCGATTCTAAAATGTTGAGGGAAAAGCCAAACGACCCGGATAAAAAAAAACATGGGGAGAGAAGCAAACTCCAAATATACAGCAGCAGGCGTCAGGGTCGGAATTGAATCCACAACCTCCTGTATACTAGGCGAGGGAGATAACATCTCCTGGTCACCGTGGCACCTCGTGGATCACCACGATATTACCACGGTGGCCAGGATATGTTATCTCTCTCCCCTGGTATACAGGAAGGTCGTGGGCTCAAACCAGACCCTGACGATGCCTGTTGTTGTCTATGTGGAGTCTGCATATATCTCTCTCTCTCTCTTTGTCCCCGTGGTGGTCGCATTAATTTTGTCCTCCGATTTTTCCCTCCACATGTATAATCACCATCACGCGTTTAAAGTATTATGGGGCTCTCTGAGTAAGGTTTCTATGGGTCTTTATAAGTTAAGGTCTCTATGGGGATCTATGATTATGGGTGTATGTGGGTCTCTGAGTATAGGCCTCTGTGGGTCTCTATGAGTATGGGTTTATGTGGGTCTCTATGGGTCTCGATGAGTCTATAAAAACATGCGTTTATGGTATTTGTCTGCCGTTATACATTCTCACACGATGCTGATATCAGCCACTCTGTTGAGCTGCTATAATTTGCTATAGTCAGGTTGCTTCTGAAAAAAAATCTACGAAGCTCAATGGGGCATTACCTGGAAAAACAAAATAGTGTAACAGGTTTTTGTTATATAGACCCGCCACGATGGGCTAGGGTTTTGGATACAGCATCGCTCAGAGCAAGTCGGTGCAAGGCAATAGTGGAGTTTGTTATCATTGATCACAAACAAACAACCCACCAACTGCTGTTAAAGTGCAGCACAAGAAAGTGCCGAGCCGTGTTTTACGAAATATCGTCTCCCACGCGGTCAATTTTGGTCAGCTACGGGCCATCTTACCAACAGCTTGCCTGTGGTGTGTTTCATGAACACATTATCCATCCATATTAGAGATTTTTTGGGGATTAAATATAAATGTGTCGTTAAACCACCACCACCCGACACAGCCAATTAGTAAGGTGTGTTATGTAAACCAAACGTGCCAATTATTTACTAGTCCAGAAAACCGGTTGTATGTTTTGAAGAGTAAACCCGCACAATTTACGATTTGTGATGTTTCACCGGTGATTACAACCAGCATCATCAGGCGAGAGGCAGAATTGTGGAGAAATCCTCTTGTTGGCTGTGTCGGGTGGTGGCGGGTTTTATTACACATGTATGTTTATGCAATCTAACCCAAAAAATAAACTATTATTGATAATATTGGTCGCAAAAGCCTACAAATTAATACTATAGATATATTTATATATATATACCCTACAAGTGGTCTCAGGTTTACGATGATGCCCCGATTTAGCTCAGTGGGGCCTTACGCCTCGGAACATGCAGAGTGTTAAGTTTTAGTTGAGTGACCTTCTTGTGACCTTAGCGTAACATTCTTGTACTACTACCAGTAGGCTCTGTACAGCGGCAGGATCTCTAGTAATAGTACCTACTAACACTAGTACTACTAATCGTAGTAGGTATAATACACTTAGTTTAGTCGTTGTCCTGCTTGAGGTTCGTGCTGAATCATCACTATCAGCATCCTCAGCAGTAGCAGATTCAGAGGAATAGTAATTGCATGGCTACTCTTTTACTTTGCCCATTCAACCCCCCCCCCCTCACTTGACTTCTCTCTTGACCGCTTGACCCCCCCCCCCTCCGGCCACCCGTTAACCCTCTCTTGACCCGCTCCCCCATACACCTGTTGTATATTTTGGGTCTTGAAAATGTTATAAATATAATATAAAATAAAATGAAAATTTAAGAATGTGCAATTATCTGAAATTATGCTAACTTATGTAATTATGCCGATTCGTTTATGTTAATTAGGGATGTGTAATTGTATTAAGTTATGCGATTGTATGTAATTATGCTAATGTATGCCATTATGATAATTAGGCTCGGCTTCGTTGTCTAGGGTTGTATTATCAATCAGGATAATACAATGATTCTCATTTTTACTTTGACTGATTATGTCTTAGTGTGTTTATGTCAGGTCTCAAATTCAGATCTCTCCGCAGGATACAGTTCTTATAATTAAGATTACTATGCATGAACTTAGGAAGGCACCACTCAGACTCTTCTGTGTTAAGCAACTTTAATCTCTAAACAAAAAAAACATAACACTCTAATATGCTAACTTTTATACTAGGAATGTCAAGACAGTACTCCTGGAGTGGAGCTGATCTGCCAACTGACCATCGGCTTGTCATCGATAAGATGCACTTGTCATTCCTCGACTCTGGTGGTGGGTGTCCATCTAGGACCCCCATTCAAACTCAAAGTAGCCTGGTCTCAGCTAGCTGAGGATACTTAACAGCAGTAATTTTAACATCGTCTTTAATCATGCAGTTCGGGAAGCTTTCCATGGCTGTACCTGAGGAATATCCATCTTGTACAGATTCAATGGGATCCTGATTGATGCCCTAGTGCGGTCGAGGGATGGCTCCCTACTGGTCAACCATGTAATGTATGCTGATGATATGCTAATTGCTGCTCACTCAGAGGAGGAGTTAGAGGTGCTACTGCTGAACCTAAAGTGTCTCACTAAGAGGTGTAGTCTTACCATTAACCCAACTAAAACTAGGCACGTGCCTGGGTACTTTTTGCCATCAAATACTCCACCCCTCAACTGCCCATTGGTGATGGAGCAATTGTGGAGAGAGTACAAAGTTTTATCTACCTGGGCAGTGTACTCATGACCAGCTCCGATTTGAAGGGAGAGGTCTTACTCCCAGTCGGCAGCATTTTATTTTAATCTGCAGAGTAATATTGCGTGGAAGCTACCTGGTATGTCACTCCACACGAAGCTCAGCATCTTCTCTGCCAGTCATGCCCTTCCTTCCCTATGCTTGTGAAACGTGGACCCCTCTAATGGAACATCTGTGCCGGTTAGAAATATTCAAGCCGGTCCTGCCTACAATCCATCCTGGGTTTAACCAGGCTGGATTTTGTGAGGAGTAAAAAAATCCTTCATAGATCTAAACACATTCCCATCAGTGAGCTCCTCTGGCAGCCAAGGCTGCGTTAGCTGCCCGCATGTCCAAGCAGCTTGTTTGACCAGATAAAGGTGGCTAAATGGGCACGTCACGGGCTGGAGAAGACATGGGCAGATGCGGTACCTGAAGATGTGGAGCCGAGTGGATTTGCCAAAGACCGGTACCAGATGTTTCAAGATGAGTCTCAATGAAGGGATGGTTAAAATTCGCAGAGTTTGCATATTAGGGGCACAGTTGGTGCATCTGCTCGTCATCTCAGTCAGGAACCCATGGCACCTGGGTCTGTCCCGTGACCTCCTGTTAGCGAGCCTTTGACATTTCACGTGGCATTAAATTGTAACTGGCATGGCACAAGCGCCGTGGTGACGTCATCGCCACTTTGTGACGAATGGCAACTGTTGTTTTGTGTGTGTGGCTTTTTTCTTTGGTGTGTGTGAAATTGTGGTGACTCATTGCGCCTCTGGACAAGTAAGCCAATATCAGATCAAGGTAAGTGAAAAGAAAACCGAATTTTTTTTGCTATTTATGTTCCTTTAGTTTGTGTTTTATTGAATATACAGTATTTTTTTTATCAGACGCGAAGGTCGATGATCTCCATCGTGCTGCAGAATTCAGTGTGGCCCCTTTGGTGGGACTGTTGCATCTGATTGGCTGTAATCAGCCTTTGCAAGCCGATTTTGCTGCCCTATTGCAAGCCGATTGGCTAATGCGGTGTGAGGGCGATGCAATTTATAGCAACCACCCCAGTAGTTGTGATCTGGCTAGGACGCGTGTGAATGCTTGAAAGCTTTGACCTGTGCCATTTCGAATTCTATCACTGCCCGTCACATGTTACACACATTTTACTCGAACTCAGGCCCCGAGAATCTCAGTGGTGTCAGTTCAACATCTGTGACCTCTGAACCACCTCGATTAATTTTAATTTGCGAGGTTTCTAGTTCTTGCGAGTAAGAAATTACATTTTCAATTCTAGTCCATTTTGCTATAACTCGTTTTCATAACGCGAATTGGATACAATGCGATGCATGCATTGGAGAACATGTTTTTTTCTAACACGGATGCGAATTGGAAATAACACAATTGCGCGAATGGAACTATGTCACTTGAATAGGTTGTACGACTGCCTCGGCGTCGCATCGCACAAGGCAGGATTTTGCTGGATGCTTCTAGATGCTACCCACGCGCCTGAGTCTTTCTTCAGCCTGTGTACACTTCTCACATGTTATCGTGGACTGTACTTTACCCCTATATTATTTATGAGAAGGCGATTTTTCCCATAACGTCTTCTGCAGGAATTAAATTGGTACGTTATAGGAGAACAGACTCTACTTGAAAAATTAAGCACATGTGATGTTAATGCCGCTTCAGGCTAGCAGAGCGAAAATGAAATAACCCAATATGACGCGGCAGAAACAAAACCAGACAAAATATTATCTTCAATCGGAATGTTACTGGGAATTGCGGCGTTTCATCGTAACACAAAGCATATACAAGTGGACACTGACAAATCAGTTGAAGATTTTATTTTTTTAAATATTTAATGTAAAAAAGTAAGTGAAAAACACCTTGTACAGGAATACCATGCATTTTCGTCTGGTTAGGGACCAGAGCATGGACGAATGTCAAAGCAGAGCCTTTACTTAGCCTTGCTCATTAAGTTTGATTATGTCAAGCTTTTCTTGCAAATTGAGAACCTTATGGGCTCGTTTAGCTTTACTATCACCACACTTAGCACCCATTATGAATATATTCAAGCACAAAAATAAGTATTTTACAGTAATCACAAAAATAACCACGTGTTTTATAATCATGAAAATAACTATGAACACTGTAGTATTATTCCGTTATCACAAAAATAACTATGAATTGTTTACAGTATAATCACAAGTACAGTATTAATAATATATTAATAAACACAAATATAAGAGATGCTCACTAAACGACTTTTATTCAAAGACTGAACGAAAAAAATGGCACGTGGTGCGAACATCGTGGAAGGTTGGATGAAATCGGACGAAAGAGGAAAGCACATGGACGAAATTTAAAATGTGGTTATAATTGAAAACGGCCGAAAGAGTGAAGCGACGAAAGTCAAGGTATCGCTGTATACACATTGAGCTGAAAACTAAAAGCAGCTACAAAGAAAACCAATATTTGACATTTTTGTCAATAAAAAACATACGATTGACATTTGAATAAGCAAAGGATGTGATATTTACAGGTCAAGTTATATGAAACTCCAAACCCTGTAGAGAGGAGCATATATCATCATGGCAACTCCAGTCATCCTCGCAGCGGCTTTTGGCTAGCCATCAAACGAAGATGGTCCCTGCATCGCGTGCTTTAGGATGCGGCCGTCTGGAATGCTCTTCCATTTTATATTAGGAATCCACTGGAGCTATGCACTGTTAAATCATCTAGAATGAAACTAATGTCTTAGTACTAATTGTTGTGTTTAGTTTGTTTTTCTTCCCCGGCACATCTGATTAGCACGGTTGGCTACATACAGTGCAAAATAAGTTCAACATACATTCATAGAACACCACTCCTTGTAGATGTGTAATGTAGCATTTAAGTTAAATAAGACATCGTTTAACATTATTTAAACATTTGTTGAAATAAGTCAGAAATCAGTGGGGTGTCTAAAAGTGGATCACCCTGTGCATTTCAGTACATGCAGCAGAAGATCCATTGTCATCATTCTGGTCACCAGTAAGTGTGATCTTCACTTTAATTCATCACAAGGCTTGTGAAAGGGTTTTCTTCATTAGGGTCTTCACTGGGCTCTGTTGACATGGATTTTTTTGGCTAGGGAGAAGAAAAACACACCGTCAATAGCATCTATATCTCGCTTAACCAGGTCTATCAATCCAAACGAGCGCATTGGACTCTGGCTCAGACGGAGTTCATTCATAAGGGTAAGGATTTTGCAAGCGCAGGACCACTTGCTTGCTATCCTGAGCAACTCGGAGAGCCTTTATATGACATTTCATCTCAACCATTCCATAATTACCCTGCTGCGATCTCCCCAAAATTATCCCAATGGCAGCTGTCCCCCTGCGCACCACAAGGTGTACACAGCACCGGCCTTCAAGTGTGCCTTTTGGTCTTCCAGTATTGGATGCAGTTGGCATCTGGTTCTTTTTTTCTCCCCCCAATTCAGTCGTTTGTGAATAAATCGATGAAGTTTAGGAAATGTGCACCGTGATGCCAGCACACGTGGCTAGCGCTCGTTTTCGAATATCATTGTGGAATCCCCTTCCTCGGTCCATTCGGGATTCCGAGGCCTGTGTCATTTTTTTAAATCACATCTTAAAACTCACCTATTTGTACAACGGGCTTTCTTTGTAACTTAGGATTTTGAAAAAACAATAATCTTGTCTGATTGGATTACTCCAATAATTTTTCACTTTTATCATAGTTCTTTATTGTATTGGAATTTGGAGTCATTGATATTGTTATTAGCTTTCTATTTCGCTTATATTGTATCTATACTTGTGAGTGTAGTTTTATTTTTACGTAGTGTTTTGAGATACTTCAAAATGAAGGCGCTTTATAAAATAGAGATTATTATTACGGGGATCTGGAACATCCTATCTTATGCAGGTGGTGAATGTGTGCGAGAGAGTGTGTGTTTGACGTGGTGTGTGATGTGTGTGACACTGTGTGACATGATGTGTGACGTGATGTGTGACAGTGTGTGACAGAGTGTGTAACATGGTGTGTGACATTGTGTTAATGCTATATGGGGGATCTTTGTACCCCCCTCCCACCCCGTGTACTGTGCCAGCCTTCATAGGTGCTCAACTAACAGCACTTGCTCATACAGTCTGTCAAGGCTATAATGGGGGATCGTTATCTTTGTCTCTCAACGATGAATACAGCTACAGGATTAACCAGGGAGGTCCCTGGGACCAAACTGTGATCCTACACAGCCAGCTGAAAAAACTCGCGACCGCGTCGCAATTCTGGCACTTCCCTGGTGACATGGCAGAGCAGGATAATATAACTGATAACACGGAGCACCAACCACTTACCTTTGGAATAGTGGTTGAAGTCAGGGTGGCATGTACTACTGTGCTTACTGATAACCAGAGTATGGTGCGATATACTGGCAAAATGAACACATTTAGTGGACTAGATGCTGTAGAAATGTTCTAGTCCTGCACAGCACTCTACCTGCACCTTAGCGCTGTCTATGATTCTTTATTCCTCGGCACATTACTAATTAAGTATATTCAGGTGATTACACTCGGGATGGGTCTCAACGATAAATAGGTGAATAACAGTAAATCAGTCGCTATTAAACAATTCAACAACAAAAACTAGCTTTCAGTAACCAGAGCAACAGTCTCTCCGGTTAGTTTCTGACAAAAAGTGTTGCTCAGAGCAGCAAGAATAGTCTGGGCTACATTCGCGATTCTGGTGCCCTGCTGTGTGAAGTGGGGCACCATGGTGGCTAGGAGATGTTAACAAGATCGCCTGGTATACAAGTTGTAGGATCGATCCAAACCATGTACACCTGCTTGTGTGGATTTTTCTCTGGCTCCACATTTAGAATAGACATCACGTATTTAAATTATCTCGCTGCTACTACAAATTTTCACGTGATTGGTCAACTTCGTTGAGCTATCATTTGTGGCCAGGTCACTTCTTAGAAAGAGCGACGTTGCTAAGTGGCCGTTACATGGTGAAATAAAAAAAAAATAGCTTAGTTTAAATGTATGTTCTCCCCCTGTTCCACATGAGTTTCCTCTGAGTTCTACAGTTTATTACTATAACAAAAAAAAACCACATGTGACTGGCATTGGCCCAAACAATCCTGAAAATTATTGGTAATCTTCTTTGGTTCTTTCGGTAAAGTCACGTAGAATGAGAATAAAATAATAAATTGATAAAATAAAAAAACACAATAACATTCTCACGACGTTTCGGCCACAACACAAGCGGCCTTCATCAGGTGAAGGGGCGAGACTGTCTGGTAGGACTGTCCTAACACAATAACATTCTCACCTACCAGACAGTCTCGCCCCTTCACCTGATGAAGGCCGCTTGTGTTGTGGCCGAAACGTCGTGAGAATATTATTGTGTTATTTTATTTTATCAATTTATTATTTTATTCTCATTCTACGTGACTTTACCGAAAGAACCAAAGAAGATGAATCATTGCAGTCACGAAAGCTTTAAATCGAAAATTATTGGTAAGTTTATGGGAGCCTTTTTTGCCAGTATCAAGATGATTAAAAAAAATAAAAGGCGTTTTACCCTTTCTAGCAATAATTTAGGAGGCGTCAAGATGTTCAAACACCAAATAGACGCACTTAATATTGATGCCTTTCTATAGGTGTGTCGATTGTTATAAATACCAACACCTGCCATTTGCCACTAAGTGACGGTGACGTCACCATGAGGCTTGTGCCAGACCAGGTGTATTTTTGAAGCCACGTGAAGGCTCGCTGCTGACAGCAGGTCACGGGACAGACCCAGCAAGTGTCATGGGTTGACTGACTGATATTACTGCTGCCAGATGCACCAGATATTGGTGCCAGAAATGTGGCCACTACTTGAACATATTTGCACAAGACAGAAGAAAGTATAAACAAATGACAAAATGTGCAGTGGGCACCTACGGGCTATCTGCCCATGGATCGTGACAATGATGATCCTGGCTATACACGTGTCATCATTATACTGCCTGCTAAAACCAAATCTGGAGACGCATACATATTTAAGACGCAGTTTAAATGGAATAACACATTATGTAGTACGTGTATGCAGTATGTAATGCATATCAGAATAATATTTTTTTTATATACTGGAGGAATCCGATGATCTTTAAATATATTTTTCACAGATGTCCAGTAGGAGATGCACTAGACCAATTGATGTACATCATAATTCCCACGAAGAGCATAATAATATGTTTACATAGTATAGAGTGTATATTGATTGTACCAGATTGCTATTGTATAGTATAAACCACGAAATAATAAACTAAACTATTTTTACTTTACCATCTGAGGCCCACTGAGCTATATAGCTCTTTTTCAGAAGCGACATGACTATCACAAATGATAGCTCAACGAAGTGGCTTATCACGTGGAAATTTAAAGCAAGCAAATACTCAAACGAGTGATGTTGATTCTAAATGTGGAGGGAAAAAGTGGAGGACCCAGAGAAAAATCCACACGACTACGGGGCGAGACACTATAAACTCCAAATATACGTCAAGGTCGGAATCGAACCCACAATCTCCTGCATACCAGGCGAGGTAGTTAACATCGCTTAGCCACTGCGGCGCCCCAATACGTTGGGGATGGCGATGTGCATGACCACTCACCTGTTATTGTGACCCGCGACTCGTTTGGAAGGGGAACGTTGCCTCCAAAAATAACATGAAACAGCGATCACAATGACCAGCACAACCGATAGCACTACCAGCCAAAGCCACCACAATCCGCTTTCCTCTGCGTCTGAATCTTGACGAGGTTCGTCTGAGCGAGGAGACAAATTCGCACATCCACACAACAGTAGCATCAGCAGCCGTTCACCACTTAGTGGCGGTGACGATTACACCACGGTGCTCGTGCCAGGCTAGGTGCACTTGGAGGCTTTCGCGTGAAGTGTCCAAGGCTCGCTGCTGGCAGATCACAGGATTGATCCTCCATGTGTTATGGGTTGACTGACATGACCGACAGCACTCACGTGCAATCGATTTAATTTCTCACTGAATATTTGTCAGGGTCGCTGAGAGTAGACTGGTAGTAGTAGGTCATGTGCTTCAGTAGCCATAGCAAGAGGTATACTGGATGCGGTGTGCCAATTTTGGAAACATTTCCCAGGTCTAGCATGGTCAGACGGTGGCATGACATTAATCCCTTTGGGTGCGTGTACCAAAACGGTGCCAAATTCAGTGTGTAAAATCACCAAACAGATGGCCTATTAAGCCTGATCCAGGGCAATCTGGCCAGAATGGGGGGCTATGCGCAAGGTGGTGGTGCATTGTACAATACAACACATTATATTTTCTCGCATTTCATTTAATGTGTAGTGACTGGGAATGTCACTGTGTGGTGCCGTGCCTGCGAGGCCACCGTGGGAGTTATAATGTTGTGTGTACACCCCGGACACGGGGTGCAGTACCATCCTGAGTGGGGGCTCCCGTGGAGAGAACAAGAGAGTGTCAGCCAGCTAGGGTTACGTTGGGGGCATGATACTCTGGCTGACCTGGGGACACGTGACCGGATGATACTGGAGGGGGGCCACCGGTAGAGGGGGCCAATGGGTGATCATGTATCCGGGAAGAACTCTCGAAAGCCTTCGAGCAAGGGCGAGAGAGATCGAGGAGGTGGGCGGGGCGAGAGGCGGAGCCAGCCCCAGCCTGGCCCGATATAACGGGGCCCCCGAGAGGGGCTCGGGGTTCTTACTGTTGGAGAGGCAGGAGATCCACGTCAGGCTTGAAGAAGCCTCCAGCCACGCGGTTCAGGACCCAACTTGTGGTCCGGACCGGGATAGTGGAACCGTGTCTAGTTCCGCCGTAGCGTGTTTAGTTGGGTGATCACCCGAGATTATGTTGGGTTAATAGTTAAATAAAAGTGATGTTCCTAAGACAACGTCTGTGACTCAGTTGGGCTCCTACAAATGTATTAGATTATGTACGCTCCAGTGGCGAGATGTTAACTACCTCGCCCGTTATATAGGAGGTAATGGGTTCAATCACGACCCTGACGCCTGTATATTTGGAGTTTACGTGTCTCCTTGTGGTGGTGTGGATTTTTTCTGTCCTCCGGATTTTCCCGTCCAAGTTTACAATCAACATCACGCATTTAGACTATATGGCTGTGATATATTTCTCCATGGTAAGTTTTCATTGAGCTATTATTTGTGATAGCCATATCGCTTCTGAAAAAGGGCTTCATAGCTCAGTGGGGCCTTACCTGGTAAAATAAAATAGCATAGTAAAAACATAGAATTGTAACTGCCTTGGAAATGTGTGATTTATCAGGTTCATTGCACTACCTATGTGCAGGCCTCCATTTAATTGTGCTAATTTCATGGTGGCACATCGGGACTCGTTTTATACTCTGTGAGGCGCTAGACAAGTGATACATAATTATTATTATTTTAGAAGGAGATGTGTTATGTCACACGACAGCATATAATCGCATGGCATTGTGATATATGTCTGCACACCCACCTTTCACCACGAGCCTGGTGGTTGAACTCGTCACTTCACCACTAGACAGTCGCTGCACCTTGCACTGGTAGGGGCCCTCATCCTCCTGACCCAGGTTCATGATCACGAGTCTGGCCTGGCCTTGTGCGACGTCCAGCGTGCAGTGCAGCCTGCTGGAGACCAGGGGCAGCTCCTTACAGCTCTCAAACTGGACAGCAGAGGATGGAGGAGAGAAGAGGTTATACCCTACATTATGGGCAAGGAACTGTATCTGTTGAGCCAAATACGTCCTGCTACTTCACTTAATACGGACTGTGACTTTGTATCCTAAAGAGGTGCTCACCGTGGCGAGATGCAAACTATCTTGCCTGGTATACAGCAGGTCGACCCCGACCCTGACGCCTCTATATTTGGAGTTTGCGTGTTCTCTCCATGGTCACATGGATTTTTCACCAGATCCTCCGTTTTTTTCCTCCACATTTATAAATATGCATTTAGAGTATGTAGCTGCCACTATAATTTTCCATGTGATAAGCCAAGCCGTCGAGCTATCATTTGTGATAGCCAGGTCACTTCTGAAGAGCTATATAGCTCAGTGGGCCTTATCTGGTAAAATAAAACGATGTATATATATTTTTAAATACTATGGTATGGTCAGGACAGCAAGTCTATTTATTCCCATATTGTTAATGCCATCTTCATGCAGAACGAGTTAAATCCCCTGTGCAAGACGTTGGTTGTGTCCGGATAGCTTGGGTTTCCTCCTCACATTCATGAACACGCGTCGAGGGAGTTGACCAAACGTTCCGACGCAGGCCCACGCAGCGTGATTCAGTTTGGTTTGAAGTGATGAAGAGGAAGATGTAGAAGTAGTTGCAGTAAATCATGATGAAGCTTTTACGTGTAAAGCAAGAGGCGCTGGTAAATTCCCCCATGCTGCGCTGTGTCACGCACAAGGGAAGCAAAATTGCGTCCCCAAATTTCCTTTCGGTCCAAAGGGTAAATCCATTGCTGTAAAACACCTCTCTTGCAGTCTCCTCACTCCACTGAACCACGGCAAACCGATGCCTTCCACTGAACACTAAACTTTTTTTATTTTACCAGGTAGAGCTCACTGACCTATGTAGTGCTTTTTGAGATGCGACCTGGCCATCACAAATGATAGCTCAACATGTGGAAATGTATAGCAGCCAAATACTACAAACGTGTGATGTTGATTCTAAATGTGAAGGGAAAAACCGGAGGACCCGGAGAAAAATCCATACGACCACAAGCAGAACTTGCCAACTTCAAATATACAGTAAAACCGTGGATTGTGAGTAACTTGGTCTACGAGTGTTTTGCAAGACGAGCAATTTTTTAAAATAAATATTAATTTGATAATTCTAGCGAGGTCTTGCAATACGAGTAGTACGTATACGCTTTGTTTGCCGAGCGTCACGTGATCACAACTGATATACGAGTGCTTTGATATACGAGTGCTTTGGATTACAAACACGTTTCTGGAACGAATTATGCTCGCAATCCAACTTTTTACTGTACAGGCGTCAAGGGCAGGATCGAACGCACGACCTCCTGTATACCAGGCGAAGTAGTTAACATCTCACCGAGTCCTTGTAGAACCAGTCAACGTCCACCTTCTCCCCCAGTGTGGGTGCAGGGAACTGGCACGAAATGTCCACCCCATCGCCGAGAAGCCCCGTCACCTCGACCTGGGTTCGAACTGGGGTTGCACGAACTGCGAGGGCACAGGGGAAGGATCAAGCAGATGCATTACGTTAAATGTAATGTTATTTTTTATGTGTATATATGTTGTTTGTGTCTTAATTGCAATTCTTATACATGTGTAGTTTTAATGTTAGGTTCGCAACACAATCTGTGGTGCTCTCCAGTTGCCTGGGTGAAAAGTGGGCTATGTTTTGCACAACCTTGGCCAGCTGGCTCAACAAACTTAATAAACAATCTTGACTTACAGCTTTCGTCACTGCAGGAATTAATATTCTTTGGGTCTTTCGGTAAAGTCACGTAGATAGGTTCATATAAAATAACAAAAAACTACGACGTTTCGATCACAACACAAGCGACCGTCATCATCCTCTTTCCTCCTGAATATTAAACAATGTATGCGGATCGCTCTAATGGTACTAATTGTACACATCTACTATGCCCGTTATTGTACAGTTCTACAATGCACATGGCTTTTAGGAGCACTCTTCATGCAAGATCGATCTTGCGGGCTGCTGGCTCCACAATAAAATACAAAATAAGTTATGGTCTAATGAATGCAGCACAAATACAATGAAATTCCGGTCATCCCTGCAAGCACCGGCTTTTGGTTGACCGTCGAATAAATACGGCCACTGTATTGCAGCTTTTGCGGTGTGTTTGGAACACCCGATATTATGAAACCACTGGAGCTAAGCACTTTTAAATCGAGGTTGAAAACTCGTTTCCTTAAAACTGCTTGCTATGTTTAGTTTGTTGTCCCCCCCCCGCACATCCGATGAGTACGGTAAGCTACACACGGTATGTATATGTATGTTAAACTTATTTAGCACTGCACATAGCCAACCGTGCTAATCGGAGATAAAGCCCATGCAGCTAAGAATATTTTTTTTTCATTGGCTACTCGGCCCACAGAAAACATCAACGTATTCCACAATTCCAGATTTAAAATTAAAATAAACGTAACCACAGCAAATTGTATCATTGCTGTGACGTGATGCACCGTACCTGGTACGAACGCGGCGGTGTAGGTAGCCCAGGCTAAGAGAAGCAGCATTTTATAGTGGAAAATTTGACTTAAAATAAAAGCGTGTAAAAACATAAAACGACGGGTGAAAGCGAGAGGCGAGTGGAGTTGTTGAACTGTAGCCCTTCCTGTGGGAAGCGCATTTATAAAGGATTCGCGCCAACGGCTCAGCTCCGGCACGGACCAATCAGGGCTCTATGTGGGCAATTAATATAAACAAGTTGGCTTTGTTCAAAAAGGGATTCCAACACCAGGGAGCTGTGAACCTGGTTGGGATGAGGGCCCTACCCTAAGGGGCGCAACTATGGTTGTTGGGGTATGTGACAGCGTTATGCGACGCATCGGGGCCCAGTCGGCCACAACGTGGCCCCGAATCAACAGATAAACAAGTTAAAATGTTTTAAAAAATTATTACAAAAAATGACTTGCGGTTTACCGCGGACCAAGCCCGACTAACACATATGGCTATCGTATCAATAGAGCAGCATCAAGTTGCGCGATCCACTCGCTTTGAGGAAATCCTAGAGCCGGCATGAAAGCAAAAGGCAAGATAAATAGTGACGTTATACCTTTAAATCTATGTATTAATACTGTCACTGTGAGGCTGTCTTCCTCTAACCCCAATACACGGTGTTGGCCACCCAACCCCTCGTGTGCCGTGTCGGCCTTCATAGGTGCTTGCTAACAGCACTTGCCCCTACAGTCTGTTAAGGCTACACGGCGAATCTTTGTCTGAGTAGACAGTGTGTGAGTGAGTGGCGCAGTGATTAGTGCACCGAACGACAAAACCGACCACATGAGTTACATTCCGGGTCAAACCTAACAGTGTGGAATAATATCTGCACTGGCCCAGCACCTTGTGCTCTGTGTAATAAAAACTGCTGGGGAGACAAAGACGTCCGGGCGTGGTCCTGACCATGCCCACCCCCTCCTCTCCGGCCGTCTGGAACACTCTTCCTTCCGCTATTAGGAACCCGCTGGAGCTATGCACTTAGAAATAAATATTTATCTTGACAAACTCATTTCTCTTCAACTGCTTTTTGTCTTTAGTTTCTTGTCCTTTTAGCACGATTGGCTACCTACGGTGCGAAAGAAGTTAAACATTCACGCACCGTGCAACTCGCTCCATCAGCCTGATAGCAGCTCCGGCAGGGGGTGCGGGGGTCATAGTCCACTGCGCGTGTCGCTGAGCAAACTGCTGCACGTACGCATTTACAGCTGCTGGGTGTTTGTCGAGGCGGCCGTTTAAATGGCACACTCCAGCTCTGATTGGCCTGTTCAGAAGCGTCGTGACGCGCACCACGTGTTGTGTTTTGTCATCTTCATCTCGACCGTTATTGCGTCAGACACAACGTGATAGCGTTAACAAGCGAGGGCTTTGTATGAATTAATGAAGGCATTCGCAACGGTTTTTGTCCTGCTTACTTTTTAAATATTAATTTCATCAGCAGCAAGGGTTCCAAATAAGCTGTTATTCTTTATTTTGTTCGCGCGCGTTGTGGCCGAAACGTCGTGAGAATTTTATTGTGTTATTTTATTATTTTATTCTCATTCTACGTGACCTTACCGAAAGAACCAAAGAAGATGAATCCTTGCAGTCACGAAAGCTTTAAATCGAGTTCAACAACGCTTCCCTTTTGTTATTGAACCGTAACCCATTTCATAACACTGACACGTATGCGCATTTACATACAGCGCATCATTGTGATTCGAATACGCCACCTACCTCGTGAGATCACAAGAGCTGAGCAGGCGAGAGCCTGGATGGTGGTGCAGTTTGGATGCCTACCGGGCGTAGCGGGGTGCTCTCGGCTGTCCATGCTGCCCGTGGGCATGAGTCGCAGGCAGCAGAGGGAATGCAGCAGTACGCGTTTCTGTTGCTGCTGCACTTCTATGCTCCTCAGTCGATGCTCTCCGGCAGGATAGGGTTTGGTAACATCCCCGCCCTTTCGCCAACCTGCATTGACCAGCGCGGCGAGGTATGGTCAAAACCAGGGGCGGAGCCACAGGGGGGGGGGGCTGGGGGGGGCTTAGCCCCCCCTGAAATTTTGGGACAGTCGGTAATCGGGATAACCGGATATCCAGCTGCTGCAAAATGCTGGCTGCCACCTTGTGCTACCCTGCAGGCCCTGCTTGAGCAGCAGCCTTTTGAACTTATCGAACGTATTAGCCACATCAGCTGCGCCGACCTATTAATAAACTCCGCGTTCAAATCCAATAAAGATAGTTTTATACATTTGTGGCGCCCATTGGAAAACATACACTGGATATCTTAGAATATTAAAGTCAGCCCCCCCAAAGTCAGAATCCTGGCTCCGCCCCTGGTCAAAACAATCCCAATGACCCACACGGGGCGAGGAGAGACGAACAATTGAGTATGTTCACAATGGAGCACGCTCACTCGATGTTTTTACTCGGATACAAAAAAAGAAAAAAACTTTCAGCCTTCAACTCTTTAACAAGAATTCCCCGCGGATGACCGTGGAGAAAAACACAAAGTTGCAGCAGCTAATACATCCCAACGTTGCAGACACGGAGTGGCAAACGCATTCTTGCAAAAAAAAACATTCCAGTTATCCGGGCAAGTAGCACAGAAAATGAACGTTAACACGCCCAGGTTAGCTAACCACGTGTGTAAGTGAAGTGATATATTTAAATGTAGGATTGTGACAGGTGTATGTAGGTCTGTTGTTGAACTTCTTTGGCACCGTACGTTGCCAAACATGCTATTCGGACGTGCGGTGGGGAAAGACAACAATCTAAAGGTATCTGCTGTGTGAATCTATGGGTGTCTGTGTGCGTCTCTATGTCTCTGCGAGTATGTACTGATGACGGTGAGCGGGCCCGGGTAAAACTATGTGGCCGGGAGTCAGAGCCATTCCCTGTACACCTTGGGGTGCGACAGGGATGTCCTCTGGCTCCCACATTATTGAACATCTATTTTGACCACGTAGTTCGTGAAGCCTTCAATAGCTGTACCGAGGGAATCTCCATTTGGTACAGATATAATGGGAGGCTGATTGATGCCCGGGTGCGGTCAAGGGATGGCTCCCCATTGCTCAACCACGTTATGTATGCCGATGACTTGGTAATAGCTGCTCATTCAGAGGAAGAGTTGGAGACGCTGCTGCTGCTGCTGAGACTGGAGCGTGCCACTAAGAGATGGGGCCTTACCATCAGCCCCACCAAAACTAAACACCTGACTGGGTATTTTGTACCATAGGACAATCCACCCCCACAACTCCCAATCGGTGATGGGACAGTTGTGGAGAGAGTGGAGAGTTTCCCATACCTGGGCAGTGTGCTTATGACCGGCTCCAGTTTAACAGCAGAGGTCTCACTCCGAATCAGTCGAGCGGCAACATCTTTTCATCGGTTGCGTAACGCTGTGTGGAAGCTACCTGGTCTGTCGCTCCGCACTAAGCTTCAGGTCTTCTTGGCCACGGGCATTCCCTCCCTTCTCTACGCTTGCGAAACGTGGACCCCCTTAATGGAGCATCTTCGCCGGTTGGAAACATTTAGGCTGGCCTGCCTACGATCCATCCTGGGTTTAACCAGGCTGGATTGTGTGAGGAGCTCAACATTTTTTGAAAGATCTGGGCAAGGTCCCATCGGTGAGCTCATCCGGCAGGCAAGGCTGCGTTGGCTGGGTCATGTAGCCCGCATGCCCAGCCACCGCATGCCGAAACAGCTTTTGTTCGGCCGGATCGAGGGGGCTAAATGGGCGTGGCACGGGCTAGAGAAGAGATGGAGTGATGTGGTACAAGAGGACGTGGAGCTAAGTGGACTTGCCGATGACTGGTACCAACGGTGTCAAGATCGGCCTCTGTGGAGGAGGCTCGTGAAGGACGCTATTGAGCAGTTGCAGGCAGTCGCCCTCCAACAACAACGGAGGGTGGAGGAGCGACGCTCACAACATCGAGCGGAGCGCTGGGTGGCTAAAGCACAGCAGGTTGGCACAGTAGGGGGCACAGGTGGTGCACCCGCCAGTCATCTCAGTCAGTCGACCTGTGGCACCTGGGTCTGCCCTGTGACCTCCTGCCCGCGGGCGTTTGACACTTCACGTGGCCTCAAGGTGCACATGGTCTGGCACAAGCGTCGTGGTGACGTCACCGCCACTTAGTGGCGAATGGCGGTTGTTGTTGATGGATGTTGAACGTCTTTTTAGACCGTACGTTGCTACACGTGCTAATCCGAGTTGCGGGGGAGGGACAACAAACTAAACACATAAATCAGTTCTAAAGGAATGAGTGTTAAATCTAAATTTAAAAGTGCATAGCTCCAGTGGTTTCCTAATATCGGACGTTACCTCGATGGGTTATGTGCACTGTGAATTAAAAGCAACAATTCTACATTCTACCTTGTGAATCCTTATTGAGTCTCACGACTTTTTTTCAGGAGGGTCCTGCGACATTGGGGATGTTTGGCCAATCCTTCTCATGGGAGTTTGGCTTCCTGTACGAGGGGACCGGGGAACCTCGGAGAAAAGCCAGCACGGATAGCCCCTGCTATGCTTGGTGGGTCCATAACAAATGCAAAGATCCCCCATATGGACTTACAGTGAGGGAAAACAAGTATTTGATCCCCTGCTGATTTTGTACGTTTGCCCACTGACAAAGAAATGATCAGCCTATAATTTTAATGGTAGGTTTATTTGAACAGTGAGAGACAGAATAACAACAAAAAAATCCAGAAAACCGCACGTCAAAAATGTTATAAATTGATTTGCATTTTAATGAGGGAAATAAGGATTTGACCCCTCTGCAAAACATGACTTAGTACTTGGTGGCAAAACCCTTGTTGGCAATCACAGAGGTCAGACGTTTCTTGTAGTTGGCCACCAGGTTTGCACACATCTCAGGAGGGATTTTGTCCCACTCCTATTTGCAGATCTTCTCCAAGTCATTAAGGTTTCGAGGCTGACGTTTGGCAACTCGAACCTTCAGCTCCCTCCACAGATTTTCTATGGGATTAAGGTCTGGAGACTGGCTAGGCCGCTCCAGGAGCTTAATGTACTTCTTCTTAAGCCACTCCTTTGTTGCCTTGGCCGTGTGTTTTGGGTCATTGTCATACTGGAATACCCATCCACGACCCATTTTCAATGCCCTGGCTGAGGGAAGGGAGGGTCTCACCCAATATTTGACGGTACATGACCCCGTCCATCGTCTCTTTGATGCGGTGAAGTTGTCCTGTTCCCTTAGCAGAAAAACACCCCCAAAGCATAATGTTTCCACCTCCATGTTTGACGGTGGGGATGGTGTTCTTGGGGTCATAGGCAGCATTCCTCCTCCTCCAAACACGGCGAGTTGAGTTGATGCCAAAGAGCTCCATTTTGGTCTCATCTGACCACAACACTTTCACCCAGTTGTCCTCTGAATCAATCAGATGTTCATTGGCAAACTTCAGACGGGCATGTATATGTGCTTTCTTGAGCAGGGGCACCTTGCGGGCGCTGCAGGATTTCAGTCCTTCACAGCGTAGTGTGTTACCAATTGTTTTCTTGGTGACTATGGTCCCAGCTGCCTTGAGATCATTGACAAGATCCTCCCGTGTAGTTCTGGGCTGATTCCTCACCGTTCTCATGATCATTGCAACTCCACAAGGTGAGATCTTGCATGGAGCCCCAGGCCGAGGGAGATTGACAGTTCTTTAGTGTGTC